GACAACAATCACCTTTTTGAAGGAAATACATTTTTTTAAATGAAGTATATGTAAAAAAAAATTTAAAAAATTGAAACTCATCCCTACCATTAGTATTTGACAGGATCCTACTGCCATACACATACAGCTTTTGTCGAACAGTGTTTAAAAACCGAAAGTCTCTATCGTCTTCTCTGCTTCACTCCTACACTGAAAGATGGGAACAGTATCTGTAGGTTTTTAAACACTATCTGACCCAAAGTGCATGTATATGGCTGAAGGATCCTGTCATATTCCAAAGTTATGATAGGATGAGTGACTATTATTATATTATTTTTTTTTTTTTTTAATCTATACCATTTTAAAATTTGATGAAAGGATTATTATATTAAAAAATAGTTTTGAGATAACAGTTGCCCTTTAAGTTGAATAACACTTCACCGAACTCTAGGGTAGTTGCCAGTAGCATTTGAAGCATATTTTTATGGTATCATGGGAAAAATATAATAACAAGAATATCTTATTACATAAGAGAAGGACTGGTCACCATTAGTGATGTCCCAAACGGTTCGCCGAACGGTTCGCCACGGATGGCGAACATATGCGCTGTTCGGTCCACCCCCTATGTCATCATTGAGTAAACTTTGACCCTGTACCTCACAGTCAGCAGACACATTCCAGCCAATCAGCAGCAGACCCTCCCTCCCAGACCCTCCCACCTCCTGGACAGCTCACTAAGAATGCAACTTCACAATGAATGTAAAATGGATGCTGTCCAGGAGGTGGGAGGGTCTGGGAGGGAGGGTCTGCTGCTGATTGGCTGGAATGTGTCTGCTGACTGTGAGGTACAGGGTCAAAGTTTACTCAATGATGACATAGGGGGCGGACCGAACAGCGCATATGTTCGCCATCCGCTGCGAACCATTCGGCGAACTGTTCGGCGAACTGTTCGGGACGTCACCACGTCTGTATAATTAAAGGTTACCAAACAAATCGATTTGTTTGTTTTTTATGGTTTGGATTGTTATTTTCCTACTATACATTTCTGTATTTCTTTTCCTTTATAGCGTGTGGAAAACTAATGAAAATTACAGGACCGGTGACAGTGAAAGCATCTGGCCCAAGGTTTGGAGCATGGATGACAGATCCTACTGCATCAGAGAAAAACAACCGTGTATGTATTGTCAGTGGGTACCCGGACTCAAAAACCAAATCTATGGTTTTATTAACTAATTAAATGCTTTTTCACTAAATTAAGTCAGCCATGCCATCAAGTAAATGCCCAAGATACTAATTATTTCTGCATTGTATGTATTTACAGGGTTATTCACCAATGTAAGAATTTAAATTGATTTTAAATTAAATTCAAATTTGAAGCCAAAATAGCCAAATTGGAAAGGTTTTCTAACCCAGCTATGCTTCCAACTCAGCTACTTTGATCTAAAATTTGTAATTCACTTTGAATTTACTTTGATTTCTCACTTGAGTTAATAAAACTGTTAGTCTATAAATGATTACTATCAATTATATTATTAGTGAAGTGAATTAAAATAAACTACATCAAAGTAGCCATTGCAACTACTGCTACCACTGTAACAAAAATAAGAAAAATACGAGAAGCACAATATGTTATAAATTCAATCATAGGTCTATTTTTGTATATATATATATATATATATATATATATGTGTGTGTGTGTGTGTGTGTAATAGATAGATATGGATAGATAGATAGATAGGATGCCAAAATACTGGAATAATACAGCTAATTATATGTCAGATCTTTTTTCAGTGTGATATATATATATATTTGAGTGTGATATCTATCTATCTAACATGACTCTCAGATCTTTTTTCAGTAGAGTGCTATAATGAATCGGAAAGCAAATTGCAAAGTGTAAACTAAACTTGTCTAAGCTGGAAACATAGCTGAAATTAATGTTTTTCCATCAGGCTAATTTGACTTTTACTGGTTTACTGTAACTCTTTGTAAGACTTCTTTAATTTTACTTAGGACCCCTCCGCCCCCCTTTAAAAGGTAAAAAAAAATATCAAAACTGAACCTTAAAACCAGCGCCAAGCAAAGCTCCCGGCCACGATATGCCTCCTCCGTCTGCTGTCCGCAAGGGACTCGCAGTCTAGTCATTGACCCAGTATACTAAATACTACACTATCAGTATTCTTCTTTGTCTCTCTTCTATCCACATGTACATCCACTAAGGACAAAATAGATTCTAAAAGAACTCGGACCATTAGAAGAATTTCTGGACTAAAATGTGTTTTATATATTCTATAGTATCTACTTTTTGTTCTCTTTTTTTATCCAGTAATTTGTTTTATTAGTCTTTTTTTTATATTGGTGCAACCTGTTGTTTGCACTATTTTTTTATTTCTTGTTGGGGCCATAGAGGGATCAGAGTTTGCTGCCTTTGGTCTGCCAGCACTAGATCTTCCAGCGCATTACCCTTTTGCTATCATTGGACTGTTTCACTGGCTCAGAGCACAACTGCACGCTCTGAGCTGTTGAGGGGAGGAAGGGAGACAGAGATGGAATTGCTTTCTTTCCTGTTTTTTCAAACCTACCCACCCTATGGAGTAAGGCAGAGCACAGAGAGAGAATGAGGGAGGGGAGAGTAACCTTTCCCTTGCAAGTGCGTTTCCTGCAAGGGTAGACGCTGATTACGTCTGTTGCCAGCACACTGATGATAGACAGACTTTTTGCACAGAATTGACATTTGGCAATTTGGCAGAGATCTGGGCTGTCAAAGTCATGTGTGCCTCAGCACACAAGTTCAAATATGTCTGAATGAGCAGCATTTCAAGCAGAAATGCTGCACATTCAAACACCAACCACCATGACCACTTCAAAATCACTAAAAGGAATACTCTGCAACATTATCATCACTTAAGTGAATTTGATATGTTTTGGCCCCATTCTCACGCTCTGTTTTTTCCCTGTTCAAACCTTGTTAATTATGCTTAAAAAAAAAAAAAAAACTTTATAGTATTTCAAAACTGAGCAAAAGGTGCAAGGGTACAAATAATAAGAGGACAGTGATTGTCTGTGGGGTCATGCAAGTGATGTCAGTAGCTCAACACCTGAGTACATAATCAAAATGCATCCAGTAAGGAAGTTGCTTTGTGAAATGAGAGAGCTGGGCTAAATATATAAGATTATACTGGAGAAAAATGTTTTGTTTTTTTTGGCAAACCTAATAAGATTTTAATGTGAAGAAAAACACAGCATGAATCTAAGGCCAAAATTCTCCTAAGTTGTGCATGTGCCTGAACATTGCTTTATACCTTAATTCTATTGTTATCTTAGAATCTTTATCTTTATTCATTAAACATGTGTTTAATGAATAAAGCCTGTAGTTTCTTTATCTGTAATTTAATTGCCTGGTTCTGACATTGGGAAATTGTCATTGTTTTTTTTATTCACGATACACCAATCTATATGAATACAGACTATTCTTCAATTACATTATGAGACTGAATTCTAATCCTACTTTCTTTCCAGGTCTGGTATATGGAGGGATTTACAATAAACAAAGTGGTACGGGAGTACAAGTCTATGGCAGATTTCATTACTGGTGCAGAATCCAGGACTTATACTCTTCCTGTAAAATGGGCTGGTACCAGCCATCTGGTTTACAATGGTTCCCTCTTCTTCAACAAATACCAGAGTAACATAATCATCAAGTACAGCTTTGGCACAGGCAAAGTTCTGGCGCAGCGTAGCCTGGACAATGCTGGCTTTAATAATGTCTATCCCTATACTTGGGGTGGACATTCTGACATTGATCTTATGGCAGATGAGTTTGGACTTTGGGCTGTCTATGCCACAAATCAAAATGCTGGCAACATTGTGATAAGCCAATTACGACAGGACACGTTAGAGGTTGTGAAGACCTGGGTTACGGGATACCCCAAAAGAAGCGCTGGAGAATCATTCATGATCTGTGGTACCTTGTATGTTACCAACTCTCACCTCACAGGAGCCAAGGTCCATTATTCTTATTCCACTAAGTCCTCTTCCTACGAATACACAGACATTCCATTCCACAATCAGTACTTTCACATATCCATGCTGGATTACAATGCCCGGGATCGTGCCCTCTATGCCTGGAACAATGGGCACCAGGTGCTCTTCAATGTCACTTTATTTCACATTATCAAGACGGACGAGGACATGTGAGGTGGACCATAAGCCTTCTTCCATCTGATGGTCCTTTATAATTCTCCTGCAAATATTTTGTTCAGTCTGTATTTCATTCCCAGCTTAACATTTTTCTTTCCATAGTACACTTCGAGCTACATTGTTCTTTTTTCATTCTATTATTTTTGTTGCTTGATACCTTCACAAGCGTATAACAGGATATATATTTATTACAACAGTAGCCTGTGATCAGCTTGGAATATCTTTGTACAAGTTCTTTGTTAATTTATATTTCCATCAAACATCATCTCATTTGGGGTGACTTTATTTACATGCACAATTATTGTGCAATTATTACTGTTGAGTTGTTATTACTAATATTATACGGTCATACCCATTTTCCTGGCCCGCTAAGATCTATGCTACAATTTATGTATGCAGGAATTTTGGATTGGTACAGCTAGTATGAAGAAGAAGAGAAGATAGCTTTATCAGAAAAAAATATAAAATTTAATGGGGTGCAGGCAAAAGAACATCTAAAATTCATGTAGAATTAGTGATCTGTTTAAAAATATAATATATTATAATATGTATTATCAAATATGTTTGATAATACTGATCCCTAGTAATTAAAAGAAGACAAATATCTGTTTCATCTGTATTGGTTTTTACTTCCTTTTAACTGATGCAGCAGTATTTGCTTTTGTTCATTTTCAACAGTAGATCCTATAACTGTACTGTGGAACAATATTTTTAATGCAGTGATATACTGTAGTATTAATAATAAATATATTTTGCAAAATAAATACAAATATGCTATGTTCCTAAATTTAATGAACCACAAATTTATTGTTTTAGATAAAGGGTACTTAATGTTTATATTTACTAATAATAGGTTGATTTATATATACAAAAAATATTTTTAAAGTAATATATTTAAACTAGGGATCAGCACTTTTAAAAGTAGATAAATCTTTGATTTGTATTGACCCAATTATGTTGAACAGAAAAAAAAACAGTGTGGATAGTTGGAAAATCAAAAGGAATTTCACGTTTTTGGCCATTGTAAAAAAAATTGGAAATATTCTCAACATCACTATGTTTCAAGTTTAGTCTTAAACTTGAAATTCATTTTGAATTATTTGAATTGCCCAAAATTCCAACTTTAGTCAATAACTCTTTAAATATTTGTAAAAACAACCACAGAAGCCAATTGATTGTATTTGATTATTCTATCATCATACTGGTGTGGTTTCTGAAAATATGACATCAAGCATCCAGTGAAGACTCATAACCATCACACAGAGTAGTCTGTCATCACCAAACATGTGTTTGTTTGGGTCATGCATAAGATGACATTGTAGTCAGTAGAGAACATTTTGCCAATATTTACATTTGATGGCATGAGAATGAAAATGGCAGAAGATCTAATTCTGCATTATCGATGTTGCTGAGATGGGGACAGCCACACCGGGGGCCAGACTCCTGGCTACCATCATTACGCAGTGTGTTGTAAAATTCTGGGCAACCTGACTACACGAGCAAGCAATGAAGGCTGGTTCACAGGTGCAGGTGGGGCAGCTCCTCACAGTTTTTGTCTCAATAACAACAAAAATAAAATCTATTGGCATGTCAAAACTAATAAGTGTGTTTTAGAATGAAAACTATTTTATCTGTCATGATCCGTCAGTCACTCCACTTTACTGGTGGTGGAGATGTAGCTGAAAGATTGAACAGCTAATTATGTCAAGATTTGGGGGTATTGTCAATTATTGGTATTGAGATCCTGGACACCTAAAGAGTCCTGTCTTCTAGGGTAGACATTCGGTAACAATGTATATATCAGAGGGTTGTGTAAGAGCTCTTTGAAGTCATTGCTGTTTCCTGTATCTGTAGGTTTATGTTACAGAGCATAAAATAAATGATGGTACAGGCACTCAAGATAAATACAGTTAGAAGATTTGTTGGTGCAGATAAAAAGCAACATTTCGGCATACAACATGGCCTTAGTCATGCTTGACAAAGGCTCTGTTGTGGGCCAAAATGTTGTTTTTTATCTGCTACAATAAATCTGCTCACCTTGCGTGCCTGGACCATCATTTCTTTTCTGCAAATTACATTTTGAGGATTGGCCAACCTCAGGCCAGGATGCACCCTGGGATCCAGGATAGTGCAGTATCCCATACAGTAATCACATTTATGAACTATATGTTACAGAGCATAACCTCCCATTGGGTCAAAGGTTGAGTACAAGTGGTTAAACTGGAAGAGATTTAAATAAATCAGTGGACAGAATTTTGAAGGTAGAGCTCAATGCCCCACCATCTTAAAATTAGTAACAGAAAGCTGAAAAGGTTATGTTGCTTAGAATTCACCTTTAAAAGAAAAAGAACCATGTTGGGATTGGCAATTACCGAACTCAGTTGTATATTTTATCTTGGCTATTCATAATTATTACAGTGGGGTTTTCTATAGCAGTAAAGGAGAAAAATAAATCTCCTCCTCATAACTACCCTGAAACTAAATAACTTGGTGGCAAGTCTAATTATCTATAATTATAAAATCTTGAAGCCGGTTCTGCTAATAAGTCATAATGATGGACAATTATCTGGTCTATTACTCACATAGATTCCATTAATGCCTTGAGGGTGTGAGCGAGTAACTAGGATTTAATATATATCTATTATATCCACTATATGCGGAGCAGAGAATATAGCAGCACTCAGTTAATAAAAAAAGATATTGAAAATGTATTTATGTGTATCACATTTGATGAACATCTTTTATGAGAAAAAAATAGTATATGATTTCAATCCTGTATTGCTGTTTACTGATTATTTATTATGTATATCATATCATATTTGTTCTCCCCCTTTTCTAGTTACAATATCTATATTTTAAGCATCTCTACATCTCTGGCCATTTATTACTGCTTTTTATTTATGTATTCAAATTAAAAATGCTTCTTTCTCCATCTCATGATTTCATTCCTGTTTCTGGCCTATATTTATAATAAATGGCATACCAATCTAGAGAGAGGTCTTTAGGAATAGATCGAGATCCAGACTTTTTTTCGGAGGTGTCAATGGAACTGGAACTGCCAGCGGAACTTTATTTCTTTGCCTTATTGTATGATGATGCCCAGGACGAACTGGTGATTTGGGAACAAACTTCAGAAGACTGATGGAACTATATTTTGTCCTAAAAACTGTGGCCACAGCAGGCTATCAAGATCTTCTTGTTGTGATCTTTGTAGATATACCATGGTCTCACTCTAATATTGATCAGCAGCAATGTACATGTGTGCGTGTCTCTGTATCTATGTATATTTATATATTTGTGTTTAAAATGCACAATGTACTGAATACTATATGGACCTTTTGTGTTTGCTTTATTTTGTATGTATTGATATGCTGGGGAACCATTTTCTTTTACAATATGTAGATGTGGGGCTGATTTTAAGATATCCGAATGTGTGACCACAAGCCCTTTAGAATTAGGGGTAGATCTTTCCACTGTTAAGTAATTTCAATCTGTACATTTTCATACAACTCTTATACGAACTAGAGTGAAACATTGTAATATTTTCATCAACTTTCTATAAATTTTATTGTAGGGATTCTTTAAAACAACAAATAAAAGAAAACAAAGCTGGGGAGAATATAAATTCTGTTCTGCAAATCTTGCACGGAACTTTATTGCTCAAGTAAAGAAATGTATACACATTGATATATATTAGGAAATTTACAAAAACACTACACAAAACTCGTTATCAGATATAGTCACAAAATATATCCACATATAGCCCTTACCTTATTTTGTAGCAAATATACTATTACTATTATATTGGAATATTTTCTACATTCAATTCCTAATGGTAGTCTACTGCAACTCACATATCTTTCCGACACAAATAGTAAAGTAGTTTTGGCCCAGATATTGTGTCCTATTAAGAAAGAAGGGATAACAACTGTTAAGGGAGCAAAAAAAAAAAAAAAGAATTTGTAAAGCAACAAACATTCACTTATTTCTATAAAACAAAATGTACATATGTTTTAGACTTTAGATACGCATATATACATCAGCACAGACTGATATATAGCTAAACTTTCACAGAATTTTGTGCGTATTCCTTGTCTTTACCAATCACTGTTTATCAAAATGTAATTCTAGACTTACACCCTTCACATCCTCCACAAAATTTGATTACATATATTGAAGGTAGAGATAGTCATAGCGTTCCGCATAATTTGCAGCATTTATAAAAAATAAAAATAAACACAATTTGATTATATTGCCATACTCCTGGTTATGCAGTGAAATGAGTGTAGTCAATAGAACATATCTTAAAATAAAATTTAAAAAAACTTTTTTTATTATGCTAAATGTTACACTGCATTTCAGAGAATAGGATTGTCTATTAATCACCAAGTAAATTAGGAACTGTTGATCCCTCTAAATCCAGGGACTGCCATTTAGGATCTGTTACATAAATACAAAGAAGCCAGTGGACTTTTGGATGGATCTGTTTGGATCAAACAATAATCACAATTCAAGCATTCATTCCTAATATCTTTATATCTTAATACTACTGAAACATGTGCCCCATATATTGAAATTAGAAGAATGACATTCCCAACACCAGAAGTAATAACACGCATTTTTGCAATGTAAGTCTGGTGTTGAAATTCTTAACTGTATAGTACGTAGGTTAGTAAATTTTGGTTCTGGCTCAAAGTTCCAAAAAGATTTTTATGGGGAGAACAAGGTAATACCTACCAGATTTCTTACACGAACTGTAGCATTTAAGAAGTCACCCTTTTAAATAGTACCATTGTGGAGCATAATGGGAGGAGATATGGCAAGTGATCTCTGGTCAGAGAGACAAGAGCAAGTGATGAGAAAAAAGGACAAAAGGTAACGTACATATTCTGTACATGCATATGTGTGCATATACATATATATTTATACATGGTACTGAGCTAGTAAATTTCATTACTTAAACAAACAAAAAGAGCCTTGCCCAAAAGCCACTTTTTTGTTTTCCACTTAAACATTGTCTGGATCCCCCACATTGACATTCCCTTATTTGTGTATTTTTCACTCTGCTTTTATCACCTCCCCGGGGAAGCTGGAAGTAATTTGTGATAATATAAATATCTGTGTTACATCTTTGCCTTAACCCTATTCCTGGGTCTGGTGCTTCTGTAGCACATTTTTTTTAACTCTTGCAAGCATATCTGGGGCGTGTGTTGGTTGTTCTTGTCATCCGCATTGTGAGATTTTATTTATTAACTTCAGTGGACTTCAATCCATTTTTTATAAAACTGATTCGTTGACGATTTATTGTGTGTACATAAAAACCGCATTCAAGCATACAAGCAGCCTGTTGTCTTCGTTGGCCCTCAGTAAATTGTTCTATGCACTAAAAAACGGGAAAGTGGTGTATCAACCTGATTACTTTTTCAGAGACCTGAAAAACAACATAGATCATTTCCTCCTCTCTGGGAGAGGTAGATAAACATTGTAGTATAATGGAAACACTTTGTTGAGCACAGCAAATGCACGTGTGCACTGTGTGTGATGGTCTTGAGGGTGTCAGAAAACATTGTTCTCCTAGTTCTTTGGGTTTTTTAACTTCATAGACTAAGCAGGGCTGGAGCCTTACTGGGCCTGGTGCTAAGGATTTTGATGGGCCTTTTTATGGAAATGTATATAATAAAAAAAAACAAAGTAAAAATTAGAATTATCTTTAATGTGCCATAATAGAAACTTATTGAAAAAAATGTTGGTCCAGAATCAAAAACTAGATTATTAAATAAAACAGAGTCAATAAAATCAACTTAGAATTTACAAATATATATGTATTAAACATGTATCGTATTTTTCTGTTCCTTAAAGGAGCACTCTACCCACTATAAACCCAGCAGTGGTTATAGTGCCAGGAGTGCCCTGGTGCTATCCAAATGTAACCTGTCAATCTGCTTTGTCATGATGTGACACTTGTCTGGTTCCCGTTAGGAACCAACACTGTTCACTTCTCAAGCTGTAGAAGCCATATGTCTGTTCTGTGCAAGATAGGAACTCATTGGCTGAAAGCATTAGCTGATAACTCTCAGCCAGTGAATAAGCTCATATCCTGGACAAAATTGGCATTCGCCTTCTGCAGCTGAAGACTGGAAGCAGTGTGGGTGCCCAGTGGGACCCAGGTTAGTGTAACAAAACATACAGAGATCATACAATGCGATACATTGACAGGTTACGGTGGTATTAGCCTGTACATTTTGTAAAGCTTTATAGTTTGTGAACATAGTGTGTGTATGTGTATAGTGTGTCCGCACATGCAGTGCTAGTATGTGTAAAAGCAGGGGGTTGATGGTGTCTTTATACTGCTAATACCTCTCCCTATACAACCAAGCATTCTGCTAGCATTTCCTGCTGCTCTATTATACTGTCTGCCTACCTTTAAGACATCAGAAATAATCACCCCTAAATCCCTTTCCTCAGATGTTGAGGTTAGAACTCTATCAAATATTCTGTACTCTGCCCTTGGGTTTTTACGTCCAAGATGCATTATCTTGCACTTATCCACATTAAATGTCAGGTGCCACAACTCTGACCACTTTTCTAGTTTACCTAAATCTTTTGCCATTTGGCTTATCCCTCCTGGAACATCAACCCTGTTACATATCTTAGTATCATCAGCAAAAAGACATACCTTACCATCAAAACCTTCTGCAATATCACTTGTAAAAATATTAAAGAGAATGGGTCCAAGTACAGATCCCTGAGGTTCCCCACTGGTGACAAGCCCATGCTTCGAATATACTCCATTCACTACAACCCTCTGTTGCCTGTCACTTAGCCACTGCCTTAGCCATTCAACAATATTGGAATCCAAACTTAAAGATTGCAGTTTATCGATAAGCCTTCTATGTACAACAGTGTCAAAAGCCTTACTGAAATCTAGGTAAGCAATGTCTACTGCATCACCTTGATCTATTATTTTAGTTACCGAATCAAAAAAATCAATAAGATTAGTTTGGCATGATCTCCCTGAAGTAAACCCATGTTGTCTCTGATCTTGAAATCCATGTGATTTTAAATGTTCAACAATCCTATACTTTAACATGGTTTCCATTACTTTCCCCACTACAGAAGTAAGGCTTACTGGCCTATAGTTGCCTGACTCCTTCCTACTACCTTTCTTGTGAATGGGCACAAGAAAGGCCGGACTTAACGTACCTGAGAATAGTCAAAATACTTTCCAAGGTCAGGGACACAGAATGAGACACAATGATGAGGAGAGCCAGAAGTCAAGGATACCAGAAATCAGGGAAGTCAAGACGAAGCCAAAGTTAAATACCAGAAAAACGCATCCAGGAACACACTCTTAGACAACCAGCTAGTGGAAACCATGAGAGGTAACTGACAAAAAGGTAATTGGGGTTTAAAAAACACTCCTTAGGCTGTAATTGGCTGTCTCTGACATCTCACCCCAAAAAGTGCGTGCGCGTCTATGACATGACGTTGCATGCACGTTGGCGCCATCTTTGATGTGGGCGAAGGTAAGTTTCCTATAAATATCCGAACCGCAGCAGCCAGCGTTCCTAAGAATATCGCACACGCTGGGGACCGGAACGGAGGGAGCTGCCCGCCGGCACCAAGGTAAGTCAGAAATATCTCTGTCGGCGTAGCTGCTTAGTTTTTATATATATACTTATCTGTCTGTAAAACCATTAAGACATATTACGCTATTTTTTGTTGTATTTCTGTTTTATTTTGAGGTTTTCCTGGCAATGAAATACAAAATAACTTTACTCCAGAGAGAGTACGTATATACATAATATATGACACATTATTGGGTTATTGTTAAGATTAAGTATAACCGTGTGATTTTTTTCAGTTCTGTTTGGCGCGGTTTATCACCTGTTGTTTTGTCACATGTGTGTATTCGTATGGTGGGTCTGTGTATAAATGCAGGATGTATTTGTGCAGCATAAATAAGTCTGGTTTTGGCATCCAATGTTGCTCCTCCCAGCTTCATTCCTCTGCAGTCTGAAGATAGTTTAGCATGGTGGCCAGATTTAGGCTGAGAGAGTAATCTGATGATCTCAATTTATCAGTGGTTGCCCATTGAGTGAAATTGTATGTTTCTGTGTTATATTTATGTATATTAATGCATGTGTGTTAGAGTATAATCTGTGTGTATATTATGAAAATGTTATATATAAAAGTCTGCTTATAATATATACATATATTAATATGTCATATCTGTGATTTTTATTTTTTTTAGATTAAACTTTTCTTTCCGCAGACCCTTGCACCCTGCAGTATTGTATGTGTGGGGATGCTGTTTGTGACATTTCTTTAGGGAGGTTGTATGTGGTGTTCCATGTGTAGGGATGCTGTTTGTGACATTTGTTAAGGGAGGTTGTAGGTGGTATTCCATGTGTGGGGATACTCCTAGTGATGTATGTTTAGCCAGGTTGTAGGTGGTATTCCACGTGTGGGGATGCTGTTTGTGACGTTTGTTTAGTCAGGTTGTAGGTGGTATTCCATGTGTGGGCATGCTGTATGTGAAGTTTGTTAAGGGAGGTTGTAGGTGGTATTCCATGTGTGGGGATGCTGTTTGTGACGTTTGTTTAGGGAGGTTGTAGGTGGTATTCCATGTTTGTGGGGATGCTGCTTGTGACGTTTGTTAAGGGAGGTTGTAGGTGGTATTCCATGTGTGGGGATGCTGTTTGTGACATTTGTTTAGGGAGGTTGTTGGTGGTATTCCATGTTTGTGGGGATGCTGCTTGTGACGTTTGTTAAGGGAGGTTGTACATGGTATTCCATGTGTGGGGAAGCTGTTTGTGACATTTGTTTAGGGAGGTTGTAGGTGGTATTCCATGTTTGTGGGGATGCCTTGTGACGTTTGTTAAGGGAGGTTGTACATGGTATTCCACGTGTGGGGAAGCTGCTTGTGATGTTTGTTTAGGGAGGTTGTAGGTGGTATTCCATGTTTGTGGGGATGCTGCTTGTGACGTTTGTTAAGGGAGGTTGTACATGGTATTCCATGTGTGGGGAAGCTGCTTGTGACGTTTATTAAGGGAGATTGCATGTGGTATTCCATGTTTGTGGGGATGCTGCTTGTGACGTTTGTTTAGAGAGGTTGTAGGTGGTATTCCATGTTTGTGGGGATGCTGCTTGTGACGTTTGTTTAGGGAGGTTGTAAGTGGTATTCCATGTTTGTGGGGATGCTGCTTGTGACGTTTGTTAAGGGAGGTTGTACATGGTATTCCACATGTGGGGAAGCTGCTTGTGACGTTTGTTTAGGGAGGTTGTAGGTGGTATTCCATGTTTGTGGGGATGCTGCTTGTGACGTTTGTTTAGGGAGGTTGTAGGTGGTATTCCATGTGTGTGGAGATGCTGCTTGTGAAGTATGTTTAGGAAGGCTGTATGTTGTATTGCATGTGTGTAGAGACTGCTTTTGATGTATGTTTAGATATTGCATGTGTGGGGATGCGACTTGTAGGAAATAATAATTAGTATGTTAAACTGATCACACAATGGAACATGAATATAATACCTATCAGGTAAGTCTTCACAAGGTACTGCTGGGAAAATGAGATGATCAAACTAACACATTCTTGTATTAATGCAGGCTTATAGTTGAAACGAGTGTTTTTGAAATAAGTGTTCCTGGAGGAGAATGACAGAAGGTACTCATCTCTCCATCTCACTCATAAAATACGGGGAAAAGAGGAAGCATCCCGAACAAAAGTGGCAATTGGTTGGTGGACTGGATTCATATACCTGACTAACTTGGGACAAATACATTTGTTGGGAAAATCACATAAGGGTTCTGTTTAAATTAAGTTATATTTGTCATTAATGTTGATGTAGCCAAGGTTAGTAACAGTTATAGTTGTCATTATTACATGTTTGCATCACATCACATAATTTGCAATAATGAATGATACTTGTTGAGCTGGTGCTGTTTAATTGTGCATTTTAATACCACAAAGGACTTCATGACTTAATACATAACACAGTATACCAACCTCCAGCAATGTTCATATACAGATACAATGACTAAGTTGTGTTGAAGACCCAATCTTGCAATGTTTGACATCGTAGCAGCATTAGTTGCTACTGTTGAGATAATCAAGTCCTTGTAGCCTCATAGTAACATTAGAACCAGTCTGAAGAAAATACACAACAATAACAAGGAATGTGGAAGCAGGTGGATTTTATTTGGGAACATTTATTGCAAATTTATAACAAACAAGACAAAGAGGAACCAGTTGGGAGAATTCAACATAAATAAAGTAGGTTACGGCACCTGATAAAAAAAATACAAAATAAAAAAAATACAAAATCGAGTAAAAAATACACACTGAAAACTGCTAGAT